GTACTGTATAAGTAAACAACATTTAAAAACAAACTTCCCACCTGGCCAGCACCAGCCTTCATAATTCCTGCCATCTTTGTTCTTAACGTAGAAGTCTTTAGAAGTAATCTCGCTGTGGATCTTGTAGCCACTATCAACCTTGATGTGGGGGTCTACTATAGCCACCATCTATTCACAAACAAAATTATCATCACAAAATAATATTTTATATACAGTGGGTACGGAAAGTATTCAGACCCCCTTAAATTTTTCACTCTTTGTTATATTGCAGCCATTTGCTAAAATCATTGAAGTAAATTTTTTTCCTCATTAATGTACACACAGCACCCCATATTGACAGAAAAACACAGAATTGTTGACATTTTTGCAGATTTATTAAAAAAGAAAAACTGAAATATCACATGGTCCTAAGTATTCAGACCCTTTGCTGTGACACTCATATATTTAACTCAGGTGCTGTCCATTTCTTCTGATCATCCTTGAGATGGTTCTACACCTTCATTTGAGTCCAGCTGTGTTTGATTATACTGATTGGACTTGATTAGGAAAGCCACACACCTGTCTATATAAGACCTTACAGCTCACAGTGCATGTCAGAGCAAATGAGAATCATGAGGTCAAAGGAACTGCTATATATATATATATATATATATATATATATATATATAGAATGATTAGAAGAAAATCATTCCATCCTGTAGTTTTACAACAACTGTGGCTGACCTTGCGTCTCTTGTCCATTAGGCCCTGAAGCATCTCTTTAGGCTGAGAGAACTTGTGGGGATCCCAGGTGAAGTAGCGCTTGCCATCTGCATGCTCGATGTCAAGCCATATAAAATCATAAGGAATGTCATGTTGGTCAAAGCCTTGGTCCACTGACTTCACATCTTCCTGGTCATTATAATTCCAGCGGCACTGGTGATAGCCCAGACTGGCGAGGGGAGGGAAGGACTGGGTGCCTAGAGAGTGAAAAAAAGACACAATATTTCTGACTCAAGCCTGAAGACCATTTAGGGAAGGGTTTTGGTGTAGTTTAGAGCATTTACCTGTGAGAGAGGCATACTGTGAGAAGACATCTGATGGCTTGGGCCCAAGCATAATGAAGACATCAATGATACCGCTCTCAGAGATCCAACGGATATCCGTCTGTGGCTTCTCACTGGAGCCTTGAACAAAATCTAGCATCTTACCAAAGACAGTCTGAAAGAAAAAGACAAAAGTAACAATAAAGTTAAGAGTAAAAGAGTTTTAAAATACACTATAATAAGAGATTATAATATAGAGAGCCTAGTGACCTCTTACCTTTCCCGCTGTATTAGAACTGATGTCCACCCAGGTCTCAGCTGCGTTAAGCCAGAAAATACCCATGGTTCTCTGTGTGTTATGGGCTAGCATGACGGGTATGGATCCATATAAGGCCATAGGGTTATAGAGCTCATACTGAAACACATCTAGGTTATAAAGCCTGTAAGGATCACCACCACTAGAAAAAAAACAAAAAACTTTACTGCTTACTGGTTTCATTGGTGGTATATTTTGATTTCTGTATATTAAGATGTATACTCACTCTGTAGTTTTGAGTTTTAGGTCGTCAGCATGCTCTGGAATACCGTACACATGTTCTACACCAGGCAAGGAGAAGTCTAAACTTATCGATGTGGGGCCTAAAAAAATATTGAAAACAAAATCAACACAAATGATATTCATTAGTATGCCGTCTTATCGCAAATAATAACGTTCAACTTAGTGAAACTTTCAAATATAAATATTAACATTTCATTATTGTGTGTAAGACCACATGTAATAAAAGTTTAAGTCCATCTCTGATAGCTTGGAGGCCATCAATATGCTCTAATATGCTACAGTGTATGCTAAAAAGTTGACTACATTAACTGTTAGCAGATATACACAATTGTTAAAAAGTTTGGGGTCAGTAAGATTTTTTTGAAAGAAATTAATACTCTTATGCCACAAGGATGCATTAAATCAAATGATCAAATTTATAATTTTACAACAGATTTATATTTCAGATTAATACTGTTCTTTTTAATGTTTTATTCATCAAAGAGTCCGATCGCAGTTTCCACAAAAATGTTACAGCTCAACTGTTTTCAACATTGACAACAAGCAGCATATTAGAATGATTTCTAAAGGATCATGTGACACTGAAGGCTGGCTACTTAAAAAAAGGAATGAACCCTAAAGATGTTTCACCCAAACTTTCTGTTTCAATAGGAAACACGTGAACAATTTAAAAACTGCACTTGTCAAGCGGTTTCTTGGAAATTGAACTGATGTAGAAACATACCATTTGGTTTGGTATCTGTATGAGATTTAAATGTCTCCTCCCACAGTCCGTCTTCCTCTTTATCACTCTGTCCATCCTCATCCTATTGTGTAGAAAAAAAAAATTCTCAATGTGATGATTATCAGGTTTAGTAACTATAGTACTTTCACACACGTTAGTGTTGCATAACCGCTCCATAAAGCTGTTAAACCTGATCAGGTACAGCAACCAGACATGTTGGTTTTAAATGAAGACGTGGCAAGATGACAGTGAAACCTGTTGTAGTATCATTTACCTGAGCACACCCACAAATGCACGAATATAGCTACTGACCTTCTCGCCTTCATCTTGCTGTTGATCTCCATCTACACTCTCTTTAACCTCAGCACCATCTGATTGGGCTTGCCTTTGATAACACACAAAAGAGAGAATAACAATAGTAAGGCTTAAGTAGTGAATCGTTTGCATTCATCACTGACATTTACAAAATCTCCTATACTCTGCAGCAAACTATCCAATACTTTGCCCAGCTTATGGGAGAGTACAGGGGTACATTTGGGGTGAACTATCCTTTTAAATCCTTGTAAAAAAAACATTTTCCATCAACTACACTACCGTTCAAAAGTATTGGGTCAATACAATTGTTTTAAAGAAATTAATACTTTTATTCAGCAATTTGACCAAAAATTGCTTACATTGTTACAAAAGACTCCCATTTCAAACAAATGCTGTTCTTTTAAACTTTTCATTTATCAAAGAATCCTGAAAAAATGTATCACAGTTTCAAATTGTAAATATTAAGCAGCACAACTGTTTTCAACATTGTTTCTGAGGATCATGTGACACTGAAGACTGGAGTAATGGCTGCTGAAACCATCACAGGAATAAACTGCATTTTAAATTATATTAAAATGGAAAACTGTTATTTTAAATTGCAATAATATTTTGCAATATTACAGATTGTTCTGTATTTCTGATTAAATAAATGCAGCCTTGGTGAGCAAAAACATTAAAAACCTTACGGACCCAAACTTTTCAACGGTAGTCTATAGGTATTCTCCTCAGCTTCCAAATAAAACCCAGTTTAGGAGAGAAAAACTCAATACTTACGTGTCCTTGCGAAGATGCAGGTGCTCAAAGGCTAGCAGGCCACGAGAATTGAGGGATAGCAGCACCTCTGGCCCCTCCATGATGTCCAGCCTAAATGGACGGGCACTAACAATCAACCTCTGGCTCTCTGCTCCCAGAGACAACACAATGCCATTATCATCCTTGGACAACACTGAGAGACTGGAGACAGAGAGATATAGAGAGAGAGAGAAATGGACAGACAGGGGAATCAGAGGCAAAGGAAAGAAGCAGAGACTAGCTGAGGTTACTCAGAGGAACACAATAAATCATGCATGTGTTTGACTGTTCTCTGAATTTCATTGTGCACTCTCAGATCAGAGACACACTCACGGCTCAGTAGGAGGTTCTGCTATGAGCACGTCTGGCACCTCAAAGCGCGGCTTTAGAGGTTTCAGCTCATTTATTTTCACCCGAGTCATATTCCCCTGCAGTCTGTACAACTCCAACAGCAAGTGCACCTGCAAACAGCAAGAGAGCAGACCAAATCAGCCAAAATCCTGGCCTTTGAGCAGGGCCATCATCCCAGGACACGTAACAAGAAGGTCAGACTAACTACCTCTCTAGTTTGACCATAAAAATAAAGAAATTGTTCTGGGACTAGATGACCCGGAGCAAAATTAATGAAGCACTGAATATCAATAAATTCCGCAGATCTTTTAACTAAGAAATTCAAAAAATACTGTTTTCAGAGGTATCAGTTAGAGGCGAGCATGAAACAGACCTTATTATTGTCATTGATGAGCTGGAGGGTCAGTCGGGAGTCACTGAGCTCCAAAGTTTCCAGAAGAGCTCGGTATGGGGACTGACCCGGCTTGAGTACCCGTTGACGTCTACGGACAAACAGAGACAAAAATCATTGTGTCTCTGGTGCCTTTGCTGATGCAAGTCAAGAACTCTCTAAACTACCACAACAGAATATACGGTGGATAACTTCAATCTTACATGTCAGAATAATCCAATAATAATTGTGTTATCTTTCACAGTATTCTTAACATGTAATCCTAGTTGCACACTGCAGAGGTGTAGTGTACCTATAATGTAGTGATTAAGAGTATAACTGACATACTTGCAGAAGGAACTCTGATCGCAGGTTTTAAAGTTTCCCCGATCCACAGCAAAGGCGCTGTTAAAAAACAGACACACACAGAATACAGACAGCAGCCCCATCCTAAAAAAGTACAAGAGGAGAAAGTTTGAATTAAAATAGGCTTCTGCTTTGGATCATGTTTGAGTAATGAATGAGCAGGGTGGAGTAAAAATAAGAGTCAGTGCTACATTCACTTTCTTATTTGCCACCCTTGAGGATCATTCTTCTTGTCTGTAATTAAATGTGCGATCAGGGTGGGAAATTAACACCCACAATCACCCATGCATTTCCACAGTGGCAGGTACTTTTGCTTTATCTACTATCCACCATGACAACCTTTTCACTTTGAATGTAACACAATCTCATACATTTTCTACAGATACTCCTAATTTCTTTGTAGTTAAAAAAAACTACAAAGATTGTAGTTCTATCGCTCTAAGAGAGCGATAGGACAATAAAGCTATTGCCCACAATCCAAAGGAGATCAGAGTCCATTCACAGGACCTGGCAGAATGGCAGCTGAGATGCCATTAAGATGCATAAAAAACAATTATAATTCAAAAATCTGTAATTTCTCTTTGAATTTATTATTGTATACACTCATGCACTCCATAAAGCGTAACTTTCCCTTAATTAAAAAATATGGGTCAATTTTGGTCTCAACTATGTGCAGGATAAAACGATCAGTAAACTCTTTAGATTTTATCTAGCATTGCACACCGATCAAACTACAAACTCGACCCTCGGATTACCCTTTTCAAAAAAAGATCAACGCCAGGATGAGATGGAAAAAGGCTGCAATGCATTCGCAAATAAACAGTGCAATATAAAAGATATTCGTTTGTACTATTTTACATCAACCATAAAGCTGTATAAAGACATCAATGTCATGTGAATTAAAAGATGACTCGTCATAATGCCAGCGATGGCTCAACCACGCATTCACATCCACTATTTGCTTGCTCGTTCAACACCTGCAGCAGATTTACAGACCAGATCTCACACGAGCCGCCCGTCGGATAGCTTAAAATAAAGACAGAGGACATTCAAAAAAGCCTTAACGACGACCTGATATGATAGCTTAGTCTTTTGTTTTACCTTTCAATGGAGATAACCGCCATCTTGGACACACAGCGTTAAGCCCAGCCTCCCGGAGGTTGGTTGGTTAGTGTGTTTGCAGGAACACTATTGGGTAACAACGAATCCCTATAGACCGCACTTACCATGGAAACGAATCCATCTGTGGTGTATGCTTGTGTACACAAGATAATTGTGTGATGACTATATTATATCACAGATAGGCAGGCATCATTGGTTCGTTTCATGTTGAGTTCTAGTTTGTTTTAACTAGGCAGATCTTTGATGATAAAGATTAGACATGGCCTACTAACAGCACAAAACCTGTGTATGCCATTGGTTAAAACCACGCAGCCTTTCCTTTTATGTAGCTTTTACCTTTTCATTTTATAACTATAGTGCTATTACTGTAAAATTAACAACAGAATAAGAGGTATATTAATGCATTTTTATTTTTATGGTCACCCAACAACAACAAACAATGTGCAGAATTACAAAAACAGAATTTTTGAGGTCTCGTACATTCTGCTGTAGGCATAAACCTTTTTTCAGTGCTTAAAAAATCTACAGAAAGCTAGACAATATAAATGTACAAAAACAGATCTGATGGTTAACAGAAAAGCAGTTCCTAACACTGTCACAATTAGGCTTTAAAGTGGTTATCTGTTACTATTTTATTGACATTGACAACTCTTAAAACGTAGAAATATTAACTTCACATCTAAGTTAACAATATGTAGAAAAATATCTAAATGCAAGAAGTCTGTGACCTTAGAACCCGGGTTTATAACACCACTTCTCTCATTTTAACAGTTGTCAAATTTGGAACCTCCAACAAAGGTGTCCCAGGCGCTCAATGTTCTTATGCAGAACACTGTGGATGGGTGCAATATAGCGTGCAACATCGCCGTCCCGTGAAAAGTCCCGAAAGAAAAGTCCTTGGTCAGCACAGAAGGTGAACTTCTGCGGCATTGGGCTGTTCCCCCACATGTACTCCCATACACCCAACAGCAGTAACCTAACTTCAAAGGGTGAGAGGTGAGGGAAAACCTCATGGATGTTACTCAACACTGGTGGTAGCAGCTGGCCTTCACCCATACATGATACAAGCAAACAGGAGGTCTGAAGATGCCAGGGGGAGTCCAACACTGATGGCTCCCTTGATGCTTCCCAGTGAGCAAGTAAGGTGGAAAGTAGACCCCTTAAAATGACGGAGCAGTAGCAGAGAGCTGGACGTCCAGCTGCAACTACACGGAGAAGATGGAACAGAACAGGATTTCCTTCAAAGCAACGACGAATGTGTATGTCTCGCTCAACAGTGGTTTTCGCATGTTCTTCTGGAGGCCAGGACAGTTCTCCATTTGCTACATCCGGACAAATGTTCTCCACCAGAGTTACAGCAATTACCTTTGCAGCTTCAGCATTAACTGGGGGAAGTTCATCAGAAACGAAAGGTTCACTGACAGCAAAGCGGCTATTTTCAGTATCTCCAGCTGAACCATTTCTAGCATTGCCATTAGGGCTTCCTCCACCTGAACTACAGCACTGAACCATGACCGCAAACAAGGTCTGCATGTTCTGATTGACTCTATCTGGGTCAGGTTGTGAAGGAGAGTATGGAGGTTTCAGACCCTTTCCGATTACTCCAGCGTGGAAAACGGACCACACACCACCAGAGAAGTTAACAGAGGTGCCAAATTTGCAGTTGATGTCCAAGAGGGAGATGCCTAAGTCTGGAACAAGGTTGGATGACTGTGTGGTGTCATCACCTGGGTTCTCCTGCAGACCTCCAAACAAATCTCGGTTGCCTCTGTGCAGGGCTCCCTCCACCAGTTGTTGCAGCACAGCTTTAAGCGTCAAGGGAGAGTAGGCTGCAAGATGTGACAGCAGTCGCATGGAGTAGCCCACTTCCTCTTCCCCTACCCTAAGATCCTCCTCTTGCTGTCGTAAACAAACAAAGAAGTGAGACACCGCTGCTCTACATATCAGCAACAGATGAGCTGGAGAGCAAGTTCTGGGAAGCTGGCTACACGAAAGCAGATGGACGGCCGCCTTGGATACCATGGTGTCACCATGGAGAAGCAATGGGCAGAAATCCTGAAGGTGGCTGGAGACGGCGACTCTGACTTGTGCGGCCATCGATGACTGAGCCGAACTCCCCGTTGCAGCCACTCTGTTTTTACGGTCCTCCTCTTGACTTTGTACCGCAGTAGCCAGGTTGTTCAGGAGCTGAGCCAACTCTTTGTTGTCAAGGGTTTGAGTGTGGATCTGGGCAACACAGCGGGATATTGTTGAAGAAAGCAACCCTGAAAGTGACGTGGAAAGTGGGGTGTACAATTGCGAGGCCAGAGCAAGCTCCTCTGGGTTTCGGGCTTGGGTGAAGAGCTGACACAAAGCTTCAGTGGCCATGCTTGGGCCTCCATACACTGATAGCAGACACAGGAGCTGATGCAACCAGAGATGCCTTTTCCGCTCAAGCCGGAGGGTTTCAGCACACAGATCACCTATGTGTCCCTGGAGCTCCTCTAGAAATGGGATAACTTGCAGCATTGCTGTGGCAGCAGAGGACTGTGGGAAGGGTTCATCACCCTCTGGTCTGTTGTGCACCAGCTTGTGAAGATGTAGCAGAAGCATTTGCAGTAAGCGGTCACAGGCTTCTCGAATACTATCATGGGGAGAGGGTGTAGGGCCTGATATGATCACTGAAGATGGTGTAGCAGTGTCTGCAAGGAACTTCAGCACCCTTGCTCCACCCGAAGGGCTTTGGCTTATGAGATGCACCGCTAGACCCAACATATTCTCGAGCTCCTCCCGGGGAAAGGCCTGGAACTGAGCCTGGAGTTGAATTAGGATGGGCGGACTGAGAAACTCCACCAGTTCTGCAGAAACAGCACCCAGGAGAGTGGGGGAAAGAGCAGCCAGTTGAAGCAAAAAAGGTACAGTGGCCCTACGGAGATGAGGGGAGTTCTCCCACCCGCCTGCCCCGGATGAATGCGGAGGTACATTTTGAGGGGGTGGAGACAGACTATTCTGAAACATCCTGAGAAGCTCTTTCTTGATGCTATCAGAATGTCTGGATGCCAAGTGCCCAAGGATACCAACCACTGAGCCTATTTTGGGGACTCTGTTGCTCTTGTCTATTGCCTGCTGTTGGTTGATCTTCTCAGCAGAGGAATATCCGTGCGCATAAAAGTCTTTGAGGCCACAAGCCAGCACCCTGCTGATGATAGTGCCAGGAAAAGCTGAACCAATGTGGGCAACGACCCAGTCAAAATGAGGGGAGTGCTGGACAGAGGTGTCCAGCAAGGCATCCACACAGGCATCGGGGCACCAGGCCAACATGGCTGCTAGACACTGGGAGTAGCACTCCATTAGTGAGCGAGTGGCTGCACACGACATCCAAAGCTGCAGCAGCTCATTCAGACTGGACGAGTGAGGAGCCGCCCTTCGTCCTGCATGCTTGCTGCTAAGCTGACCAAGAAGGTCAACGGCCCATGTGGACACAAGGGGAGCCCAAGCTTTAGGACTAAGTTTGATAAATTCAGAGAGGACTGCATGGATTTCTTTAATAACGTCCTCCAAATTGGATACACTGGTGCTGCCTCCTCCACTTGTACTGTTACCACTGTTTTCACCCTCTGCCTCTAGGTCTTGCAGAAAAGCTGCAACATATTCATCATACACTCCCCTTAAGTGCTCCAAGACGGCTCCACGGCAGGCTGGGACAGTTCGAAGGAGGCGCACTGCACAGCGGGCATGATCCCGAACGCTGAGTTTACGTCCCTGCGTCTGGTCAACTCCACTTATGAAAGCCTTGATTTCAAAGGCCAGCTCTTGAGGACTGATGAAAAAGAAAAAAGACAGTTGGAATACATAGAAAATGAAATTTAACATACATTTTGCAATAAAATAAGATTTATATATTGAGTATATTCTGACATGACACGTCTAGCAGTCACAGCAGTATAACATGCTATCCTTCATCTACTTTAAAACTTTAAAAACAACGTTGAGAAACAACATGGAACATTTATTCTTTCAAAATAATTTTTATGTTATAAGTGCACATAATATAACTGTGCCGTTTAAAGAACTGCCGTTTAAACATATTAGTTTTAGGTTTTATGTTTTGTTGAAAATACTTTAAAGGGGTCATATGATGCGATTTCAATTTTTCCTTTCTCTTTGGAGTGTTACAAGCTCTTGGTGCATAAAGAAGATCTGTAAAGTTGCAAAGACTAAAGTCTCAAATCCAAATAGATATTCTTTATAAAAGTTAAGAGTCAGCCACACCTACCTAAAACGGCTAGTTCTAACACGCCCCCACACACGTACGTCACTATATGGGAAGATTTGCATAACGCCGCCCAAATGTTCACGCAAAGAAAGAAGGTGTAAATTTTATTCTCGCTGTAGTATTGTTGCCGCCGCCGCCATGTGCTTTGTTGTGAAAGCGAAACTACTTTGGTTGGCCTTCCAAAAGAGGA